TATATATATATATATATATATATATATATATATATTTCTATTCAGCTTTAATTTTATTTACATTTTTGCACTTAAACATATCTTATTTCAGTTAGCCACCAAGCCATCACTTCTCATTTTTGTTTTACATTTAAGTCGAAGTACTACAATTACTAACACTAAAATAGAAATAAAGCTAAAGCTAAATAGAAGCATTTTGATAATGACAAAGCACATAAATGACTAAAAAGAAATTAAAATGAAAACTTTAAATATAAAATCTAACTCAAAATAAATACGTACTATAATAGTACATAAATAATACAACAGTACAATAATATACTGATATATAACAATTATTTTTCTCATTATATTACATTAATATGTCAGATTTCATACATGAAAGTATCATAACAGTGCACTATATTCCAAGTGATCTGAAGTCATATGTTTGGAATGATGTGAGAGTGATTAAATGATTTTCATTTTTGTGTGAACTATGAGACTTCACCAGGTAATGAATTGTATCTTACTTGTCAGATCCATCTCGAACCGTGACTTTGGCATAGAGAACGTCCACCATCGACGGGTCATCATTCATATATTCAATTCCTCGGACCTCCACAGGAAGTGGTTTTGCTTCAGTTATATCTCTGCAGAGACAAAGCAGCACATTTACTCTGCTGAGCATCACTGCGGTCTGTTCTGATGCTTTATGGGCTGCAGTAGTGACCTGATAGCGTCCCGACACTGCTGCAGGAGCTCGCTCGCGCGTGTCACTTCCTGTTCGTTCAGCAGGGCCAGAGTGCCGATGGTCAGATGCAGTTTGGCTGGGTTCTGGAAAATACTCTCATCCACGCCTGCGTCCTGCACAACACACATTAAAACCAACTCAGAGACAATCCACAAATCTAGCAAACATTTCATAGATGCCTTTTTATCACTACTATAACTCATTCACAATAACACCAGGAACAAGAATTAAGAAAATAGTAAATAGAGTGAATTTTGCTGTGACCTTATCACATTATATTATTTTTAAATGACATTACATTAAATTATATTAACCTTTTAATATAATATAATATAATATATAATATAATATAATATAATATAATAACCTGATTACATTTTTGCATTAATATTATATTAAATTCTTGCATTAACTACTGGCAACAATAAGACAATAAGATAAGATAATATAATTAATAAGCTATATTTTACATTAACCTTACTAAAAGAAAAGAAAATATAATAATATAATATAATACAATTAATAAAATAAAATAAAACTAAATTATATTTAATTTAATTAAATCTTTAAATTAACATTAAATTGTGTTTATGCATTAACTACTGGCAACAATATGTCCAGGAAGTACAATTAAATTAAATTAAATTAAACCTTTAAATTAACATTAAATTGAGTTTATGCATTAACTACTGGCAACAATAAGACAATAAGATAATATAATTAATAAGCTACATTTTACATTAACCTTACTAAAAGAAAAGAAAATATCATATAATATAATACAATTAATAAAATAAAATTATATTTAATTAAATTAAATCTTTAAATTAACATTAAATTGAATTTATGCATTAACTACTGGCAACAATATGTCCAGGAAGTAAATAGAATGAATTCTGCTGTAGCTTTATTTTATTATATCATATTAAACTATCTTAACCTAACCTAACCTAAAATAATAAAATAAAATAAATAGTAATATTATATTACATTTATGTCTTAACTACTGATTTGATTGTGCTTGATGGAACTTATTATACTAAATTTATGTGTTAACTACTATCGTAATACTATATTGAATTCTTGCAACGTTAATAAAGTAACTGCGGTCGCCTCTGATTGTGTGTTGACTTCTTGAGTGAATGTTCTCACCTGTCCACAGAGCTCCAGCACCTGCTCTCGAAAGCGCAGGAAGCCCTGCTGCACCTGAGGATGATTTAGTGCAAACGACAGGAAGTGTGTGAACGGCTGCTTCCTCCGAAAGCTGTCGATCAAAACCTCAACGCGGGTTACAGCTGAGGCGACGGCTGCTCTGTGTGCACCTGTGATCACTGAGCGTCCCACACACACACACACACACACACACACACACACACACTTCCGTAAAACCACAGCACAACCACAGGAAGAACATACAGTCCTCACCACTGCACACAAGAACACGCTGCTGCCAGAACATCCTGCTACTAGAACATTCTGACCCCTAAAGCACCTTTATGCTTATACAGGAACACTTTTAGTTGCACAAGGCATCATGCACATTCATTTAACGCCAACCGAAACATGCCAACCTTCTGCTTCGGAGTGTGTTCAGACACACGAGCAACAAACTAGATGACTTATATCTCAAGATAAAGTGGGTTTGAGCATGCAAAACTCACAGACACCATTCTATACCAGTTTCTCTGGTAATGCTAAGGCATTATGAGTTGTTAGAGTTTATGCATTTGGCAGATGCTTTAATGCATTCCCTGGGAGTTTGAGATATGATTTCTGTCTGCACAAATGCTGTGTGATGAACTAAATTAATAGTTCAGGGCTGAGGGGTTTGCTCAAATCACCGTTTCTTACCGATTTGTCCTTCCACGCCTTGTTTTGGGATGCTGATGGAAGTTTTAGTCTCTGATTCCAGTCGTTTACGAGTCTCTCCCTTCTTCCCGATAATATACCTGAAAACACAAGAACACTGCTGAGCTCTGAGATCTGAAAATGACCAAGAAGCATCCGAAAAAGCTGCAGTCAGTCTGTATGTGAGCCAGTTTCTGCCTTAGAATGAAAAAAAATAATCTAATATAAAATATAATGTATTTACTATTTACAATACTGACTTTATTTCTCCGTGAATGCAAGATGTCATTTTGTGCATTAATATGAATAAGAAATGGAACGTACCAACACATTTCTTGAAGGAAATATGCATTTTGTGATACAGACAATTAAAAAAAGTAATAATTGCAGGATGTATACTTGCAATTTTCAGGTAAAAAAAGTCAGAATAGTGACTTCAGAAACTCTGAATTGCGAGATTTTAATGCAAACTTGTGGGATATACACTCAAAATTGCTAGAAAGAGTCAGAATTGTGCGCTATAAACATGAAGGCATAAACTTGCAATTCTGAGAAAAAAAGTTAGATGTTTACTCAAATATTGTAGGATATAAACTACTCTAAACTGCGAGAAAAAAGTCTGAATTGTGAGAAATTAACTCAAAATATAGCCTAAATTTGCAAAAAAGTGAGAATTGTGTGTTATAAACACAATTCTGAGAAAGTCCGAACGATCATATGATACAAAATTGCAAAATATAATCTTGGAATTGCAAGAAATAAAGTCAGAATTGTGTGAACATGCAATACCGAGAAAATGTGAAAGTCCAAAAAATCTGAATCGCAAGATGTTAACTCAAAACTGCAGGATATAAACTCAGAACTGTGAGAAGTAAAGTCAGAACTATATGTTATGAAAACTCAAAGTTGCAAGAAATAGTCATAATTCTGTGTTGCAAACTCTCGAGTCTGATAAAGTCAGAATTGCTTGATGTAACTCAGAATTGTGAGATGTTAACTCAAAATGAAGTGAGAACTGTATTATAAACACCCAATTCTGATACAGAAAGTACGAATTGCTGGACATAACCTACCAATTCTGACCTGAAACAAGTTAATAAAGCAATAAGCCCCGTGAAGCCGTGGTTTACAGTGAATTTATAACAGCTAAAGGAAGCGGAGTGCCTAAAACCCCTTAGCTGTTATAAATTCACTGTAAACCACGGCTTCTCGGGGCTTATTGCTTTTATAAAACGGTTATTCCATATACGTAGTAAGGTTTCACAAAATAAAACAGCAAATAAAGTGTAATGATATTAATAAAAACAGTATTCTTCCACCAAACAATGTAGCTCCTCAGAAACAGTTGTGGTTGCTACAAAGTGGTTGCCGAGCAACACACAAACGTAAACAAAGGTGTATGTTACTTTGTAGAGTCATTTACAACAGCTTCGAACGCGGCTCAGCCAATCAGAATCAAGCACCGGAACTATTTTCTACTCCATGGCAGCAACTGCCTTCGTAAGTGTGAGAGTGGTCTAGAACTCATGTACTAACTTGTAAAGGACACTGGGCACGTCTATGGCGCAGCGGAAGCCTCTGTCTGTCTGCTCGATGTTGTATGCATCACACGGCTCGTCCAGACACTGCTCAGCTGCTGCAAAACATCATCTTCACATTATATGACGTCATAATAAAGACACGATGCAGTGGAGCTGACCAAAACAAACCTGCTCCCGAAGACGGATAATCATCCTCTTCTTCTTCATAACATTCCTCCTGGACTGGATTTTTTCTGTAAATTCTGCCATTGATGTTAATGAGAACCGGCCGCAAGACCTCCATCACACGCAAACTGCTGGATGAGAGAGAGTAAGGAGAAGCACAGTTCATTTACACGCTTAGAATGTGGCATAAATGAGCGTAACAGCACTGGAGCGTAATATTGCTGGTTAAATAACTGTAGAATTCACATTAAAGTCACTAAAGAGACAGTTAGATTACTAAAAGAATTCTATTTTAAGTAAATGCTGTTCTTTTTTAACTTTTTATTCATCAAAGAATCCTGAAAAAAGTATCACAGCCACAGGTTCCAAAAAAAATATGAAGTTTCTAACATTGATAATAAATCAGCATATTAGACTGATTTCTGAAGATCATGTGACACTGAAGACTGGAGTAATGATGCTGAAAATACAGCTTTGATCACAGAAATAAATTATATTTTAAAGTATATTAAAATAGAAAACTGTTCATTTAAATTGCAATAATATTTCACAATTTTACTGTTTTTTCTGTATTTTTGATCAGATGAATGCAGCCTTGATGAGCAGAAGAGACTTCTTGTGTATGTATAAGCAATATTTATAAAATTAACTAAATAAACAATTTAACAATATTTAAATGCTGACATTTCATATTAATTGAACAAGACCAGCAGATTACAGAAAACAGGAAAAAAAATCTATAAAAAAAAAACAAATTCTAGACTAATCAGTAAAAATTACCGAACAAATTATCTATTTATTTTAACTGTCAAGATCATCATTTTGGTGGGATAAACTGTCAACAAGACAGTCTGTTCATGACATCTTCTGAAAAAACTGCAAAATCAGCAGAAAGACGTTTAAATGTTTTATAAACAAAGAAATATTTTATATGTTTCATAGTTTATCGTGTGCTTCAACTGATGGCTGACTGAACTTTGCTACAACACGAATAAACCACATGAAACAACTCAGAACCCATGAAAAAACAACAACACAGAACATATACTCGCAAGAACGCGTGAATATTAATTATTAAATGATTAATCTTTCTACCTTTGAGCTGCTGTGTTTGCAGGAAACTGTGGACGAAAGACTTCCGCTTCCGCTTTCAGCGTCTCGCTTAAAAGTCCTCTGCTGAGAGAATATTATCAAAATAATAATAATAATAATAATAATAATAATAATTTTCATATATATATATATA